CCTAGCTTCTGGACTCTGTTCCTGCTCCCATCCCGCGCATCTTGCCCCCGGTACTGACGTCCTCAGCCGGGACTTCGATCGCCCGTAGAACGGACCGTGACAATGGCTGTGCTTTTGTTGCTCCAGAAAGTGTGAATTCAGCATGTTGGCCTTTAGTTGAGAACTGGATCAAATATCTCAACCATCCCTACTTAGGAAGGAGACTTTAGCTCCTCTTCATTGCATCATCGTCACCAGTCCTGCCGCAACCATGCACGTTAGAGGCAATGAGGAGCCTTTTCTACTCATTTAGGCTTCTTGCTCAATTCAGAATCCCGATTTTTCCAGTGATCCAAATCTCTATTATCAGCATAACCAATTTATTAATTGCTTTCTAAAGAACTGTCTCAAGGCAATGCACACTGAATTTCATTGAAGTTTAAAACTCAAAGGAGCAAATACATTTAAAACAAAATTAAAACCATATAAAGCAGACTTAAAAGAGACATGGGTGGTGCTGTGGGTTAAACCACAGAACCTAGGACTTGCTGATCAGAAGGTCGGTGGTTCGATCCCACGACGGGGTCAGCTCCCGTTGCTCGGTCCCTGCTCCTGCCAACTTAGCAGTTCGAAAGCACGTCAAAGTGCAAGTAGATAAATAGGTACCGCTCTGGTGGGAAGGTAAATGGCGTTTCCGTGCACTGTTCTGGTTCTCCAGAAGTGGCTTAGTCATGCTGGCCACATGACCCGGAAGCTGTACGTCGGCTCCCTCAGCCAATAAAGTGAGATGAGCGCCGCAACCCCAGTCGGTCACAACTGGACCTAATGGTCAGGGGTCCTTTTAAAGTAGACTTAGGGTAGACACCCATTTCTCCAGCTGAGAAAGCCTGTCAGAACAAACATGTCATCGATTGTTTCTGAAAATGCAAGTAATGGGAACCTTTCAAATCTTGTCAGAAATGCAATTCCAAAGAAATGGGGCAGCCACACTAAAAGCCTTGCTCTGAGTTACTGTGAACTGGGTTTCTGAGATCTTTGGAACTTGCAAGAGAAACTCTTTGCACTTCTTAGTGCACTCCTACAGAAGATTTTAAACCCAGCCAGACTTGACAATTCCCCTTTGTCCCACAGAGGCTGGACCGTGTAAACTCTTATGTATACTTGCCAAGCAATCTGGTCATCAATGCAGACTTGCTCAGGGAACTAACACGAGTTACACAACTTGGTTTGCATCACTCTCATTTCTCAATGATTTAAAGAACCCATTTTAAAATCTCGCCTCCCCTGCTGTCAACAAGGGTTGCCTCCCTTGTAATAGATCAGCAATTTGTTCTTCTGTAATCTTGTAGCCAGGGACGCTGGTGGCACTGTGGGTAAAAGCCTCAGCGCCTAGGGCTTGCCGATCGAAAGGTCAGCGGTTCGAATCCCCGCGGCGGGGTGCGCTCCCTTGCTCGGTCCCAGCGCCTGCCAACCTAGCAGTTCGAAAGCACCTTCGAGTGCAAGTAGATAAATAGGGACCACTTACCAGCGGGGAAGGTAAACGGCGTTTCCGTGTGCGGCTCTGGCTTGCCAGAGCAGTGATGTCATGCTGGCCACGTGACCCGGAAGTGTCTCTGGACAGCGCTGGCTCCCGGCCTCTTGAGTGAGATGGGCGCACAACCCTAGAGTCTGTCAAGGACTGGCCCGTTATGGGCAGGGGTACCTTTACCTTTACCTTTAATCTTGTAGCCACCGGAGGTGGGGAGAGCTGGGTGTATTTTAGGGCAGCAGCTCAGAGTAACAAGAGCCAGAAGAACTTGCTGGATCAAGCCGAAGATCCAAAGATCTAATCCAGGGGTGGCCAACTCCCAAGAGACTGCGAATCTACTCACAGAGTTAAAAACTGGCAGTGAATCTACCCCCTTTTTGGAAGAGTTCAGGTCAAGGTCCGCTGAGCTATATTTAGGAAGGAAAGCCCTCTTTGGGGGGGTTCAGGTTGAAGTTGTTGAGCTTCCTTTAGGAGAAGGAAA